TCACGAAAGATCACTTAGGGTTCACCAAAACCCAATTCACTATCCCTAGTTCAATTTACAAGTACTTGAGTCTCATACCTCAATCAATACCATCTTTAGACCATTCTTTTCTTCAATAAGCTCAGAATAGTTAATCTTAGGGACCAAGAAAACACAAATTTACGAACGACTGCTCAAGCAGTGGAAGGGCGGTCTATGGGCAGTGATCACTAAAATGAAAAAGAATTTCAAACTGACCTAGGAGAGCAAGACCGCTCGAGCGACCCAAAGGGCGATCCTTGCTACTCCTCCATTAGTGTTGGCCTACTTTTTCCCTAAGTCTTCTAGAGACCATTCTAGTACAGGCTAATGAACATTAGGCAGTTCCTACTATTTTTTAAACCTAAAACCAAGCAAAAAATTTATATTCTTCAATACTAAAAGGTGTTGCTCAAAAGGGCTCCGCTAATGGCTCAATCTATATTTTTAAAATATAAAAGAGATTTAGAAAAAAATTCTTTAAAGAACAACTAGAAGTCATACACAGATCTATTATTGATTCTATTTTTACACTAATTTTCCTAAGTTTGATAAATTAAATCAAGGTATCATCTTAAGTATCTAAGGTCATTACCTTTGTCCTAAGCATGAAGGTGCATATGAAGAGTTCAGTTGATGTAGCTTGAAGCATGATCTCCCCCCTTCCATTTGACACTTTCAAATTTTCATCATTGTAACATCATGGCAATGAAATAGTTTAAGATTTACAAAGACTTCACGAAATTAGCCAATACGACTTGTCTAACAGGTTTGACATATCTCACCCTGAATACGACCCGTTTATTAAATGGTCTAATGGGTCCATCCACACCTATTAAAATCTCACATAATTCTACTTAGCTTTGTGTTGATTTGTGTAGGTTAATTGTGTTGTGTAACATTTTGACAGTCCTATACTACAAAGGAAACAAAACTCTTAACATTGCACAATGTGCACCTACCCCATCAGAAATGATTTAAGTATGATGAGTCTTCATATGGTGAGCTTCGTACTTGATAGACAACTAATAGCTATAAAATTTAACTAATCTAAATACAAAGAATTAAGAAATTAAAAATTTTCCTCTTTTTTAAAACAACACTTATAGGTGTTCTTGAACAATTCTGTAAAAAATGAAATACTGGTGAATTTCAAACCATCACTTCCATTCTCCTTTCAACTATCTCACTTAGTTTAACAAATTTTGAAAGCAATAGTAAATCCTTATTAATGATTTTTTTGATAAAGATTGAATTTATTTTTTATAGAGTTTTAAATATTCTTTATTCATTTGAGTTAATCTTACCTTTGTAAGAATATATTCCTCAGCAAAACCTTTCTCATTAGGTAAACAAACTATATGATTTTTTTCTATTTCAAAAAGCATTAGGAATAATACTACAAAGTTTTTGAACAATTTATTTTTACAGGTTCTTACTTTATCATGTAATTTAGAATCTTTTGATTGATCTTACTTTATATATATATATACTCACTAGTTATTGCTCGTGCCTGAAGGCACGGAGTAATAAAAAAATGATTATACCAAAATTAAATCACAAACATAAAGAAGAGAGAAATGAATTTAAACACTGGTTATAGTCGGGGGTGAGCAATGGTATTGGTGGTGGGCGATAGTGGTGGTGGTGGGAGACTGTAATGATTGTGGTGGTTGGCGACTACCGTGGTGGTGGTGGCCGTTGTGGGTGGCAACGGTGATGGTGGTGTTGGGTTTTGAGTGACAATGGTGGTAGTGACAACCATGGGGTGATGTCGATGGTGGGTGTGGGTGGTGGTAAGCGACAGTGATTGTGGTTGGTAGTGGTGCTAATGGTGGGGTGACGACGATGGTGGTAGTGGGTGGTGACAATGGTAGTGGTGAGCGACAACGGGTGTTTTTATGCAACAGTGTGATGGGTGTGGCGAATGGCAGTGGTGGTGGCAGGTGTGATGATGGTGGGTGACAATGGGTGGCGGCGGTGGTGAACAATGACGGTTGGTGGTGGTTGGTGTGGTAGGTATGGGTGATAATGGTTGTTGGTGATTATGGGTGACAATAGGTGGTGGTGGGTTGTAAGAGGGGGTGGTGGTGGCTAGTGATAGGCAACAATGATGGTGGTAGGTGTTGATGGTGGGAGATGGTGGTAGTGAAATGATTATGGTAGTGATAATAAATATAAGCATGAGATGACGAAGGTGATAGTTGGTGGTAGGATGGCGACAGTAGTGATGGTGGATTGGCGATTTGTGGTTGTAGTGGTGATGGTGGTGGTAGGGCAGTGTGGGTGATGGTAGTGGTGGGGTGGCGATAATGGTGGTAGCGGCAGCGGTGGTTGTGGGGCAGTGGAGGTGGTGGTAGATGTTGTGGGAGCTGTGGTGGTGGGGCGGTTCCAAACACTGTTTTTTTTTGAAAGTATTTATGAGTAGTTTTTAGTTTTAAAAGCACTTCTAAAAAATCATCTCAAACACACCCTTAAAACCTTTTTTTTCCTATTAAATTTGGTGTGTTAATATTAACAGCCTGATTAATTTTAATGTAAAAATTTAAAGAGATCTCAACCGCAAAAAACAAAAGTCATTTTGTTTATCTTTGATATTTGAATTATATTGTTCTTTATTATACATACTAGTTATTTTCTGTGTCTAAAGACACAAAGTAATAATAAAAAAAAGACAACAATAAGCATATTTATATTCATAATTAAAATCAAATTACAAAGATAGAGGAGAGAGAAAGAAATTTAAGCACCAATTGTAGTGGGGCCGAGTGGTGGTGGGCGACAATAATGGTGGGGGGAGACGACGACTGGTTGTGATGGTGGCACCTATGAGTGACAATGATAATGGTGGTGGTAAGGTGATAATGTTGGTAGTGGTAGAGGTTATGGTGGAACAGTGGCGATGGTGGTAAGTGGTAGTAGCGGTGATGCAAATGGAGGTGGTGGTAGTGGTAGTGGGGATGGTGGTGGTGAGGCAGTGGTGAGGGTGGCGACAAAGGTGGTGGGATGGTGGTGGTGGTTGTTGTGGAAGAGGTGTTGATGAAGTGACAACGACGAGAGTGTGGGTGGTGGTGGTGGTAGGGTGGCATCAATGATGGTGATGGTGATGGTGATGGTGATGGTGGTGGTGGGGCGATTGGGGTGGTGGTAGTGATGGGTGTGGTGGTGGTGGTGGAATAGCAACAATGGTGGTTATGGTAAAGATGGGGGTGTGGGACGACGGTGATGGTGGTAGTGATAGTAATGATGGTGATGAGACAGTGAGGGTGGTGGTAGTAATGGGCCAGTGGGGGTGACAGTTGTAGTAGTAATGGTGGTGGTGGGATAATTTCAAACACTATTTTTTTTTTAACGTACTTATAAGAAATTATAAGTTCTAAAAATATTTTTAAAAAATTATCACAAATACACCATTAGAAACCTATTTTCCCTATTAAATTTAGGATATTAATATTAACTGTCAGATTAATTTTAAAATAACATTTAAAGAGATTTCAACCGTAAAAAATAAAAATTATTTTATTTATTTTTTAAAATTCAATTTATATTTTTTTTATTATATAGATATATACACATCCATCGGTGTAGGTGTGTAATGTGCAAACCCCACGTAAATTAAATGAGCTAGGTCGGCGTACCATCCAAGCAGCTACCAATTATTGAATACAAGAGAGGTGCCAAATGGTACTGAGACACTGGCAAATAAGCCTCACAATTCCAACCTATTTCTATCAAGGATAACCATACAAAGGCCTATATTTAGGAAACCTGTAACATATAGTGGACATGTTGAGTGATACATCAACTGGTAATCCCCTATATCTTCTTTTCTGTACTACCAAATTTTTGCCAACAGTTATGAACGGAAGATGTCTTATGACATACTCAAATTCTGATGTAATTATGTTAAAATCAGCAAAAGAGGCAAGGTAAAAAGACTTGTTGACTCTGGACTGCTATCATTCCTATAGTAAAAATCCATTGCAGCTCTTCTTCTAAACACTGGTAGACAAAGCTGTTTACATGCGAATATCAGATCTATATAATTACGGACAAAGCAATTCAAATTATAAACATAAACAAATTGACTTTCGCTCTTCCAAGTTAAGATCGTTTTAAATTTTACTTTAAAATTAATTCGACAAGTGATATTAACTTCTTAAATTTAATAAAAAAAAATGAACCCTCTAATGGCCTGTTTGAGACAACTTTCTAAAAGTTTTTCTAAAATTTATAATTTATCATAAGTATTTCAAAAAAAAAAATAGTGTTTGAAACCACCATCATCACCACCACCACTATCGCTAGTGCAACCCCACCACCACTATTACCATCACCACTGCCACCACCTCATCACTGTCACCGTCGTTGTAGCCAACCTACCACCATCACCACCACCACCACCACCACCCCAGCCCCACTGTTGCCACCACCACTGTGCCCATCACCACACCTATCACCGTCATCGCCCACCACCCAACCCCACTACAGCTACCACCACCATCACTACCCACCACCACAACCGTCTGTCGTCACCCCACCACTACCCCTGCCAACCACCATCACTATCACCCATCGCTACCCACACTCACCACCCAATCGTCGCCACCCACAGGTACCACTATCACTATCGTCACCCACCCACCACCATCACCGATACCACCCACGACTACCACCAACACCGCGGTCATCCCTACCCACCACTCACTCCATTACAATCAATGCTTAAATTTATTTCTCTTCTATGTTTATAATTTGATTTTTAGTGTGAATACAAATAAGTTTATGGTTAAGAATTTTTTTTTATTACTCCGTACCTTCAGACACGGACAATTACTAGTATTCTAAAATCAAAAAACAGTTTTCATCACAGACTCTCAACTTTTTATAAACCATTGCAAGTATTAGTTCTCTGTAAACATTGGATTCCCACAAGCTTGTGGTATCAATAGGAACGAGCGAAATAGGATAAGTATTTCATCTCAATCATCAGATCCTGATGCTAGGTAAGACCTGAGAATGTACTTATACTTGTCCGGGCTGTCCCACCACGTAGGAGTATTAATAATTGAACGTTCCAACCAATATGGATCGACCTCCTTCTTCCTTGTCAGCCTTTGGTAGAACTTCCCCCACTGGTACATTGTACGCTTTAGACGAACACTCTTCTGTGCTCCAAATAGAAACTTGATGTAGTCTTTTGCAAGCCGAGTTATCTCCTCCCCCTCAATTATGTAAATATACTGAGATCAAGCCAATATGCTAAACATGTTAATTCATAGAGAAAGGAGTTAAAAGAAAGAACCATTAGAAGGTCACCACTTATTTCTGGTGCTTATTATCATGTGACCCATACGATTTTCCTATTTCCAGTCTTTATGAAAACTTAATGGATGAAATAGATCAAACATCCACTGCTCAAATATCAGTTTACTACATGCAATAATATAGTACATCGTCATCCCCATCAGTATCCATGAATATTTCACTCTATATCCATAGATGGGTCACCAGGGTAAGTAAAATGAATTGACCAAACCCCAGTACTATTTCTGGCACACAAAACACCTATGTTCGTATATGTCTATTTTTTTTTGTGTGTGTGTATGGGAGAGAGAGAGAGAGAGAGAGAGAGGAGGTACTACCAGAAATATAAAACCAGTGGTTGCCAAGATCACTTGTAGTAGCTCATCCCAGACTCCAGAAAGACCATCACCTTCAGAACCACCAGAACCATCACCACCACCGCCTGGAGGAGTTCTACCACTGCCTCCATCATCATAGTATTCTTGTTTCTGAAGTTGCTGCCGCAATACATCCTCTAATGACTGTTCCTTCTTTAAACTTCCCATAGCTTTCTCAAGAGATTTCCAAGGAGAAGCCTAATAACAATGTACAGTCTAGTGAACTAAAATGCAGTTCCAGAAAAATATAGGCCTATAAGTTTCTTTTTTGCCATTCCTTGTGCAGCCAAAAAAATACGGAGTTCTGTGTACATACGGATTTCCAAAGAGGAACTTACATCATTGTCAGTCTCAGACTTCTCTTTGCCACCAAATGAACAAACAGGTGGAGATCGACAGTATCTAGATGCAGCAGTAGTCAGTTTCAAGGATGTATTGGCAAGTGCCGTGCACTGGTAACTTGATAAACCTGTACTTATTTTCAGGGAAGCCTTATGGAGTTTAAGTGCAACAAATGGCATAGAAGGTGCACACCATGAAGGACATATATTTGTGACACTGTAGGCATGCAGGCAAGCTGTTCCTTGAATGCAGCTCATCTCATTAAACAGCTCAGTCTCTTGGTAAACCACACATCAAGCTTAAACACACTAAGCTTTTGCCCTTCAGATATAACTGCGCAACAAATAATAACGAGAGAACTTTCTGAGGTTTGAAATAAAACGAGGATATAAGAGCAATAAACCCACACCATTGTCTGTAATCAAATAACATAGTCAAATATGGAGAATTCAATTTTCCTGGAAGGTCAAGGGGATTTCAAACTGTAAAATGATGCTTGCAAGTACATCCAGTTCGACCCAAAGGGCATAAATGAAAGTCGGTAAATTCAGAAATAAGGGTGATTTGATTCTGTCATGTGGGGATCACATTTTGTTGAGACAAAGGATGGTCGCTTTCTGTCACAACTTCGGAAACCTCTTCCGATATTCCCCTTGAACATCTTACTGAAAAGCAGAGCAAGAAGAGAGAGCCGTGAGACCGAAGTGGAAGGAGTTCAATGTTTTTAAATGAACTTTTTATCAGGCTAATTCTTAAAGGATGTTTCCCATTAAGAGAACCATGCCCCTAGCTAATGGTTCTATCATTAAGTCAAACCATTTTTTCTCCTGGCTTCTCATTAAATATCATGCATACAAAACAAATAAAGATCAGATAAGAGTAAATTCATTGGAATTTGATCCTAGAATTGACAAAAGGTAATACCTAAAAAATCTTTCTGAATGTCTATAAATAAAGGAACCGCCGGATGAGTTACCAAATAAAATCACGATATGTAAATGCTTTTGATTTCCCGAACCTATTCATCTCTTTTTGAAAATTAATTTGATGGGCATCAATCGCTGTCTAATAAAGCAGTAGTTTCAGCAGATGGTGGGGGCAGTGTTGGTGGTTTGGCCCTAGAGTGGGGTTTGGTAGGCAAACGGTGGTCGATTTAGTAGGTTGTCGTGGGTGGGCTGTGTTTTTGGCGGTGGACATAAGGTGGGGTTCACATGGTGGCTGTGAAGGCATTTCCTAGAAGGGCAACGGGCAGAAGCCCTAGTAGAAATTTCGTGGACCACATGGTAGAGAGGGTGAGAGTCCCACTTAAAGGATGCCCAAGTATAATTAATGTGATTTTAATACAAATTCACTGTGTAATCTCAAATTGATACACATCTGCAATCTCAATCAAAACAGGGGCCATTGAACCAGTAGTGACACCACTGTGAAACATTAAAGTTATTACAGTGATGCACCCTGATGTAGGACAACTTTGTAAAATAAAAAAAATAGGGACTGTTTAGAGACTATGAACAGTACTCGTGAACAGTAATGGGACTGTGAACAGTAGCGGGAACAGTAATTTTGGTTAGAAATCACTCCCAGGGTTCCGTAGGCATCACACCTAAAATTAGAATTGCATCACACAACTCAAGAAACATGTAATTGCTCAGAATTCTGAATATCTCTTTTTTCATCTATTATGAAAAGTAACACTAACTATATATAAAGTTATAAGTAATCTTAATCCCAAAATATTAGGATTTCAAAGTCTCTAAAACTTCAAAAACACTAGGTCCCTACAAATTAGAAAATTAAAATTAACTAGAACTAAAACTTTAAATTCTAGAATATTTAATACTAGAATTTGACCCAAAAATATGACCTATTCCAGAAATTTTGAAAATTACAAAAATACGCCTAACACTAAAAATATTAAAAGGACATATAAAATATTAATACTAGCAAATTGACTTAAAATAAGAATGCAATGTTCCATATGAATCTTTGTCTTGATGAAAAGTCAATTTCATTATCTTTCACATCTTCGAATTTGTGTTTCTTTGACCATCTTATGGATTGCATCATTCTCTCCTGGTTGGAAAAAACTCGACCTCGAGTTTCAAAGTATTGCAGTATGAAAGTCTAAAAACTTTGAACTTGTATATGTAGCTGTCTCTGAGAAGCGAGTTTCAAAGTGTTGCAGTATGAAAGTCCAAAAACTTTGAACTTGTATATGTAGCTGTCTCTAAGAAGCGTTAAGATAATGTCTCATTTTCTTCTCTAATTGAGGAAACAAAGAAAAAATTTGAAAATTGATCCCCTTGATTGTGTCGTTGAAATTTTCTGGAATAATAAAATCAATTGGTGGAGCAAAATGGATAGAAAAAAGCATTAGTGACTCTTCATGTAGATCCTTGAAAGATGCAAACAAATCAAGCTCCTGGAACATCATTGTTGCTAGTTGAAAGTCATTAACGGGAACAATTTCACCGGGCAACACTTTTAGCACTATTTCAGAGCTCTTAGGTAGTAACGTACTCATCTCTAAAGGCTCATTTGATTCAATACCAGTTGCTGGATTTTTCATCTTGTCAGGCTCCACAACACAAAAATTGTTTGGATATTCATTTTTTACCTTAGCCTCTAGACAAGTGAGTAGCGTAATTACTTGGGATTGTGTGGATTCTTCTACTTGATTTTCTTCATCTTGAATTATTCAATCAGTTGTTGCTTTGGGCTGGTTTTGATGAATCTTCTCTAGTTGCATAGTAGAATCTAAATAACTTTGAGTTTTATCCCTTTGCGAAGAAGAAACCCTTGATATACCTACTTGATGAAGGAAATTTAGGTATATCTCCGTACCAAGTGCCACTTAGAATGCATGTTCTACGTTGTATAGTGGTTGTTCAAGTATTTCTGCCTTTATATTTGCTCTTAAACCAACCTTGAATCGAGTAATTGTTTGGTAAGGTTCTTCTACGATATGGTTTTTCAAGATTAGGTCTTCAAATCTTTGAATATACTCTGTAACAGATAGGTTACCTTGTTGCAGATTAATAAGTTGTTCGCACAACTTGCTACGAAAGTGTGAGGGCATATATTTTTGTTGATGCTTAAATTTCATCTCTTGCCATGTGTTGATTGACGACAATCCCAATATTTTTAAATCTCTTTCAACACCAAACTACCAAATTTTTGCCAAGCCTACAAGTTTCATCTTGGCAAACCTTACTCTTCTTGTATTCGAGAAATTATACCTAACAAAATAATTCTCTATAGAAGTAAACCAACTAAAGAATATTGTAGAATCATGCCTTACATCAAAACCTTGGATCTCCATCATCATATATCAATATTTAAGTTGCATGACATAGGATTTTTTGACTCTGATACCAAATTGATGTAGGACAACTTTGTAAAATAAAAAAAATAGGGACTGTTTAGGTGTTGTTAAGGGACTGTAAACAATACTCATGAACAGTAATTTTGGTTAGGAATCACTCCTAGGGTTTCGTAGACATCAGACCCAGGATTAGAATTGTATCATACAACTCAAAAAATATGTAATTGCTCAAAATTCTGAATATCACTTTTTTTATCTATTATGAAAAGTAACAATAACTATATATAGAGTTCTAAGTAATTCTAATCCCAAAAGATTAGGATTCCAAAGCCTCTAGAACTTCAAAAACACTAGGTCCCTACAAATTAGAAAACTAAAATTAACTAGAACTATGACTTTAAATTCTAGAATATTAAATACTAAAATTTGAACAAAAAATATGACCTATTCCAGAAATTCTAAAAATTAAAAAAATACCCCTGACACTAAAAATATTAAAAGGACATATAAAATATTAATACTAGCAAATTGATTTAAAATAAGAATGCAATGTTCTATATGGATCTTTGTCTTGATGGAAAGTCAATTCCATTATCTTTCTTATCTTCAAATTTATGTTTCATTGAGCATCTTATGGATTGCATCACACCCTTAAAAGAAGCTCCCATAAAAATACAAAAATTAATGCTAAAATACACCTCCAAGCCCATCATTATTAGTAGCAAATAATCATCACATAAACCAATTATCTTTAAAAATTCTCAAATATTTGCCCATGGATCTTCGGTCGGTCACCATTTCAAGAAAATCTCCCCACAATTGTACACACAGCTCTTTGAAGGCAAATGATATCACCCCTTCCACAAATCATAAACACTATTCTGGACCAAAAGTCAAGAACCAAAATCCTACACATTTAGAAATTAAGATGCTCATCGAAATGAGTAGGCAATTCTGTGACACCAAAATAATGGAAATCCCCATCCAAAAATAATTGGCTGAGCTAGAAAATGCCCACCAATTTATGAATGTTTATGAGTACCATAAAATTTACTTTATGAATGGAACAGTGGTACAGTATGGCAGCAACTGTTTCATAACTATAAGCTGGAAAATAGAATGGCAAAAAAGAGAGCTGTTGAGGTGACACATTCAACACCAAGCCCAAAAAGAGCAGTGTAAAGGGAGAAGTTCATCATACAACTTAGAACATCATTCTTAATTGAACCGCAAGACTATCTTTTTTATATGTTTTTCCTATAGTCTGGACAGCAATCGCCAATAAACTATTGTCTTCATTTTCAAAGAATTAATTTATGAATTAACAAATAACTTCAGCATAAACCCTGTCACATAAGAAGCTGTAAAACCACATTCAATCCTAATTACTGATTGAAGAATTGGAAAATGAACATTAGAAACAAAAATTGCAAATCTCAAACAAAATTGGAGAATCTCAATTGAAACAATAATCACAATCAAAACTAAATTGCAGTGATTTGAAATTCTATGATGCGTCAAATTGGAAACGCTCAATGAAGTGATTTGGAATCTCCAACTGCAATCAAACCCAAACCAAGGGAAATAACGTAATAGAGGTATAACAGACAAGTAATTTGAAAGCTGCCCTACTTAATCGAAGATTAACAATCACACAATCACAAATATGGACATATTAAAGATTCATTTATGGAATTATATGAAAGATCACGAAAGCACCTCTGACAGCTTTACCTAGTTCCAAATAACCTGAAGAAAGAGTTTGAAAATGTTACCTTTCTTTATCAGTATTTCGAGCAAGGAAAACTACTTATTTGAGACATTTCAACAAACATTATGTCCATGAAAAGGACAGGGCTGTTGAGGTAGCCGTTATTGGTGGTTTAGGTTTGTGACCGTGGGGTGTTGTGGCAGTCGCTGGTGGTTAGG